ATCCTGGAGAATGACAGTGGATTATCGTAAACTTAACCAGGTGGTGACTCCAATTGCAGCTGCCGTTCCAGATGTGATTTCATTGCTTGAGCAAATTAATACTTCTCTTGGTACTTAGTATGCAGCTATTGATCTGGCTAATGCCTTCTTCTCAATACCAGTCTCGAAGGACCACCAGAAGCATTTTGCCTTCACCTGGCAGGGGCAACAATATACTTTCACAACTCTCCCCCAGGGGTACATCAACTCTTCTGCCCTGTGCCATAATTTAGTGTGACAGGATCTTGATCGCCTATCTATTCCACGAAATGTCACTCTAGTCCATTATATTGATGATATTATGCTGATTGGACCCACTAAGGAGGATATATCTAGATTCATTGGTACAATATCTACGTACAAGAGGTTGGGAAATTAACCCAACAAAGATTCAGGCACCCTCCACCTCAGTAAAATTTCTAGAGGTCCAGTGGTGTGGGGCATGTCGAGATATTCCTACTAAAGTTAAGGATAAACTAATGCACACTTATATGAACTGTCCAGAATAGGCAAATTTAAAGAGACAGAAAATAGACTAGTTGTTGCCTGGATAAAGGAGACAAGAGTATTTGGGGGGTAATGGAAATGGTTTCAAATGAATTGTGGTAGTGATTTATAACTATACCGAAAGTCACAGAATCATACACTTTGAGTGAATTTCATAGTGTGCAAATGACATTCCAATAACTGGTTTTATTTGAAGTTATAGCTTGTACTGGTATTACAGAAGAAACTCTGTAACTAATAAAATTTATCAACAAGTCAAGAAAAAAATTCACCTTGAAGAACAAATACTGAATAAGTTGATAGCCCTGAAGGATCAGAAGAACCACATTCTCAGAGAACACCAAGGTCAATTGATATAATTCACAAAGACTAGCTCTACTTCTCCTCCTGTTTGGTGAGTAGTGACTAACAGCTCACAAGCAGCCATCTATGGTGCAAGTATTTCTAGCTCCTTGTCCAGAGGAAAGATGAATGATGAAAATCAAGACGTGGAAGAAACTCATCTTCACAACCTAGAGATCAAAAGAACTAGATGGTGGTTGGCTACCACTACCCAACAGTGACCACAGTAGAAAGTCCTGAATGAAGTTAGAAAAAAGTGGGAGAAAACTTAAAATCATAAAAGAGACCAGGTTTATTGGTTGGACAAAAACTGGCGGGACCGGACCTCCAACACTTAAGACCTTTGCCCTTCAGATCTGGAAATGAACTCCTTCTACTTTAAATAATCAAGCAAGTCAGAGGGTTAGGTAAAGAAAAGGAATGGAAATAGGTAAAACAGGGAGGAAGTGGAATAAGTGATGGTACATTTAAGGGATTATAATGGAGGAGTAGAATCAGAATGTGTACAAATTGTTGAATGTAAAACTATAATCAGCTCTGTAAACATTCACCTAATTCACAAGTTACAATTCAAAACCTGAAATAAACAAGCCAAAAAATTAAGAAATTCTAATTGCAAATTTTACTTTTCATTTTTAAAATCACAGAAATAAACACTATCACATCACGAGGTGCCAAAGGGATCAGTTATCAGGCATCAAAGAACAAAAAATC